AGGACCAACAGAAACGTGGATTTGTTAAAGAATATTTTTTCAAGGACCAACAGAAACGTCGATTTAAAATAAAAATATTTTTTCAAGGACCAACAGTAACGTGGATTTTTTTAAAGAATATTTTTTCGAGGACCAACTGAAGCGCGGATTGTTAAAGAAATTTTTTCAAGGACCAACTGAAGCTCGGATTTTTTAAAGAATATTTTTTTCAAGGACCAACAGAAACGTGGATTTTTTGAAGAATATTTTTTCAAGGACCAACAGAAACGTGGATTTTTTGAAGAATATTTTTTCAAGGACCAACAGAAACGTGGATTTTTTGAAGAATATTTTTTCAAGGACCAACAGAAACGTGGATTTGTTAAAGAATATTTTTTCAAGGACCAACAGAAACGTGAAATTTAAAAATAATATTCTTTCAAGGACCAACAGAAAAGTGGATTTTTTAAAGAATATTTTTTCAAGGACCAACAGAAACGTGGATTTTTTAAAGAATATTTTTTCAAGGACCAACAGAAACGTGGATTTTTTAAAGAATATTTTTTTAAGGACCAACAGAAACGTGGATTTTTTGAAGAATATTTTTTCAAGGACCAAAAGACAAATAAACTTGGATTTTTTAATGAATATTTTTTCAAGGACCAATAAATGTGGATTTTTTAATGAATATTTTTTCAAAGATCAACAGAAACCTGGATTTTTTAATGAATATTTTTCAAGGATCAACAGAAACCTGGATTTTTGAATGAATATTTTTTCAAGGATCAACAGAAACGTGGATTTTTTAAAAAAATATTTTTTCAAGGACCAAAAGAAACGTGGTTTCTTTAAAGAATATTTTTTTTCAAGGACCAACAGAAACGTGTATTTTTTAAAGAATATTTTTTTCAAGGACCAACAGAAACGTCGATTTTTTAAAGAATATTTTTTCAAGGACCAACAGAAACGTGGATTTTTTAAAGAATATTTTTTCAAAGACCAACAGAAACGTGGATTTTTTAAAGAATATTTTTTCAAGGACCAACAGAAACGTGGATTTTTTAAAGAATATTTTTTCCAGGATTAACAGAAACGTGGATTTTTTAAAGAATATTTTTTCAGGGACCAACAGAAACGTGGATTTGTTAAAGAATATTTTTTCAAGGACCAACAGAATCGTGGATTTTTTAAAGAATATTTTTTCAAGGACCAACAGAAACGTAAATTTTTTAAAAAATATTTTTTTCAAGGACCAACATATATGTGGATTTTTTAAAGAATATTTTTTCAAGGACCAAAGGATCAATAAACGTAGATTTTTTAAAGAATATTTTTTCAAGGGCCAAAGGATCAATAAACGTGGATTTTTTAAAGAATATTTTTTCAAGGACCAAAGGATCAATAAACGTGGATTTTTTAAAGAATATTTTTTCAAGGACCAAAGGATCAATAAACGTGGATTTTTTAAAGAATAGTTTTTCAAGGACCAAAGGATCAATAAACGTGGATTTTTTAAAGAATAGTTTTTCAGGGACCAAAGGATCAATAAACGTGGATTTTTTAAAGAATAGTTTTTCAAGGACCAAATGATCAATAAACGTGGATTTTTTAAAGAATAGTTTTTCAGGGACCAACATATCAATAAACGTGGATTTTTTAAAGAATATTTTTTTAAGGACCAAAGGATCAATAAACGTGGATTTTTTAAAGAATATTTTTTTAAGGACCAAATGATCAATAAACGTTGATTTTTTAAAGAATATTTTTTTAAGGACCAAATGATCAATAAACGTTGATTTTTTAAAGAATATTTTTTTAAGGACCAAATGATCAATAAACGTTGATTTTTTAAAGAATGTTTTTTTAAGGACCAAAGGATCAATAAACGTGGATTTTTTAAAGAATATTGTTTTAAGGACCAACAGACCATTAAACTACTATAAGGACCCTTAGGCCTAATGGTTGTCTATGTCGACTCCCTCGGCTTCAGCTTGTCTATATCGACTCTCTGAACCCCATTTTCTCTATATCGACTCTCTGGCCTTCAGCTCGTCTGCAGAATATTTTTCGATGACGTTCTTGATTCTCTCACTAATTGTTGTCCACCATATCCTTAGAAGTCATTAACAAATTTCAATTGTCAATTCACTTTTGACTTCTGCCCTTTCCAAGTTGACAAGATCTCAGATTTTATCAATGCAAACAATGTCTGTTTGTTAAAGCAATACCCAGCAACAACAACAGCAACTTAAATATCGAAAAGGACACTCATTCAATATTTATTATGAAAGCAATATTAAATGTTAACCATATATTTACAATAGAAGTTCTACTTCGACCATTGTTGTTGTTGTTGTTGTTTTCAATTGTGGCCAACAAATTCAATTATTTTGACATTCATTGGACACACGCACACCCAATGTTGTGGCCTTTTTCAATATTTCTTTTTTGTTGGTTAGAAATCACAATTGACTAAATGTGAAATTATGAGGTTGTTGACTGGTGGTTGTTGTTCGAGTTGTTGTTGTTGTTGTTTTTCATTGTTGGTAACACATGACCTATGCTTACCAAAAATAAAAATTCAATATTCTATTGACCTCTGATTTGTCATTTACATTTACATATTTATTTTGTCATAATCAATAGACATGTGTCCAAATAAATGTATCCATCAATTTGATGTTGTGCGGAAGTGTGTGTGTGTGTGTTTGAAATGAATTTCGGTTGTAACAGCAACAACAACGTGGGCTTTGTTCAAGTCTAATTGAAGGGAAGTGTTCGCTTTGATGGGCAATCAATGTGTGCCCGTCTCTTTACCAAATTATCAACTATTTGGTAAAGAGACGGGCAGAACAATGGATAGGATGGATAGCGCTTTGTGCGGTAGAAAGATGGTATTTTGGGAGGTCCTTAGACGATGTCCTTAGAAAAGGCCCCCTTTAGTTAATCTATACTGACCCTCGGGATCCAGCTTGTTGGTAGAGAACCGGCTGGGCTCTATCTTGTCTATAGAGCACCAGCTAGGCTCTAGCTAACCTGTAGTGGTCTATCTGGGCTCCTGCTTATCTATAGAGAACCAGCTGGGCTCCGGCTTTTTATACAGGACCAGCTGGGCTCCACCTTGTCTATAGAGCACCAGCATGGCTCCGGCTTGTCGATAGAGGACTGGGCTCCAGCTTGTCTATATAGGATCAGCAGGGCTCCAGCTTTTCTAAGGAAGACCTGATGGGCTCAAGCTTCTCTATAGAGGATTAGCTGGGCAAATGCTCCCCTTTAGAGGACCAGCTGGGCTCCAACTTACTTATAGGCGACCAACTGGGCTTGAGCTGGATTCCACCCAATTCTCTTGCCTATAGAGTATCAGGTGGGCTCCAGCTCACCTATAGAGGACCAGCTAGGCTCAAGATCGTCTATAGATGCCCTGTTGTGCTTTAGCTCCTCTATTGAGGACCAACTGGGTACCAGCTCAATTATGAAGAGCCAGCTGGTTTCCGTCTATAGAGAACTAGCTGGGCTCCAGCTCGTCTATAGAGGACTAGCTGGGCAACACCTCACTTTAGAGGATCAGCTGGGCAACAGCTTATTTTAGGGACCAGCTGGGTAACAACTCGCCTTTAAAGGACCAACTGTGCAACAGTTTGACAGCTAGACTTCAGCTCTTCCATAAACGATCACCTTGCTTCCTGCCTGTCCTTAGACGACCAGCTGGGCTCCAGATTGTCCTTTAAAGACCTGCTGCGCTTCAACTTATTTACAGAGGACCAGCTGGATTCCAGTCTGTCTTTGGAGCACCAGACAAACTCCAGTCTGTCCTTGGAGAACCAGCTGGTTTTAAGCCTGTCCTTAAAGCACCAGCTGAGCTCCAGCTTGTTTATAGGGGCCCAGCTGGGCATCAGCTCGTCTAAACTCACCTGCTGTCCTTCGGACTGCCTATTAGGGACCAAGGGGGATCAAGCTTTCCTATAGAGAACTCCCAGCTCCCAGGGCCTTAATTCGACTGACTGCCGGGTCCCTGGGTTTTAATTCGTCTATATCGACTCTCTGCCCTTTAACTTCTCCATATCGACTCCCTGACCTTCAGCTCGTCTATAACGACTATCTAGTTTCCAGATTGCCTACAACGGCTCTCTGGCCTTCAGCTCGTCTCCACACACTCCCTGGTCTCCAGTTGCTCTATAGAAACTGCGTGGGCCTCAGCTTGTGTATATTGACTTCCTGACCTTCAACTGGTCTATATGGACTCTTTGGTCTACAGCTTGTAATTATGGAGTCGATGGTTACCAAATCGTCTATGAATGACACCCTGGTTTCCAGGTCTTCTTTATAGACTCTATGCCTCGTTTTTCAAGACTCTCTCCTGCTCCGGTTTAGATACTTCATCCATCTCGTCTATAGAGACTGCTACCAACTTGATTATAGAGACTTTCTCTAGCTGATCTATTAAGACTCTCTATATTTGATCTACAGAGACTTCCTTCAGTTCGTGTAAAGATTGGCTGAACAGAGTGCCTAGCTCACTTATTGGGACTACCCTGGTTGGTTGGTAAAAACCCCTTTCAGATCGTCTAGAAAGACTTTCTCCACCACGCCTACTTTATTCACTCTCCCCAGCTAATCTGTAAACATGTCTTTTATGGAAACTCTCTCGAGCTCTTTTACAAAAACTCTCTCAAATCGTTTATAAATACCCGAGATGGTCTATGGACTCTCTCTGATTGTCCTAGAGCCTATTCAACTAAAATTCTTTGGAGCTCTTATAAAAAAAAGCTCTCTTGAGCTCTTTCATATGGACCCTCTCAGCTCGTCCATAAATACTCCCTCCAGTTGGTCTATGTGGACTCAATCTGACTGTTCTAGACTCCATTCAACTCTTATAAAAAAGATGCTTTCTAAAGACCCCTTGCTGACCTTCATACATGGTCAGGTAGGGGTATTTAGGTCCTTTCCTCTCTTGCCTCTAAAATACATGCTTGCTTCTTCTTTTCTTTCTGTGGCACATATTTTCAAATCATCCTACTTACCGATGGTCCGAACGAAGTCAGGAAAGTCGGCGCCTGTATATCAGCCCCATATAAATCCTCCAGCGGCACTTCACGCAAACAATCGACAATTTGTTCATGATCTTTATCCAAATTTTCGGGTATGGAACAATTCACTTCTTTGGCCAATTTCACTGCAAACATCACGGGATCTTCCACCAGGGCCCATGAGGAGTAAGCCGAACCTGACATCAGAATTGCCCTCTGAAAGAGGCCTCGTACCATTGTTGGGGTGGACATTAAGTAATTTATGCAAGCCGCTCCAGTGCCATGACCAGCCAAGGTCACCGCATTGGGGTCACCACCAAATTTTTGAATATTCTGTTGGATCCAGTGTAGGGCGGCAATTTGATCCATGAGGCCATAATTAGCAACACGAGCATGTTGTTGAGGATTAGGGTTGGCATTGAGAAAACCTGTTGAGAGAAAAAAAAAGGGGAAGGAGAAGCAAATTAAAGATGGGGTGGGGATGCGAAATAACTTGTAAAGATAAATGTATATTTTGATGTATAGCTTTTAGACCGGAACAGACAGACAAATAGACAAAGCTCTAAATACATTTTATTACCGACATAAATAACGCTATGCTGTCTTTCCAAAGGGGAAAGGCCCAACATTCCAGATGAGATTTCTTGGATTCCCCTTGCACCTCACTAGTTTATGGTGCAAGGGTGCCCCCATTGTAAAAAAGGATATTTTATTGTTGCCTATTTTGTTTTATTTCTTTGTTTTCCGTTTTTTTTTCCAGGATATTTTATGTCTTGCCATCCAAAGTAGGCCACTTAAATGTAATAATTTATTATCGCTGTTGTATCTCAGGGCCAAATCGTTGGTCTTCAGGATGTATACATTACAATTGGGGGACTTTGAATTGGAACACCTCGGTTTCTACTTTAATTTCTTGTAAAAATGCCGAACATTAAAAAAACCTTTCGCCTCAAAGGCTTCCCTCCAGCTCGCCTATAAAGGCTCCCTCCAGCTCGCCTATAAAGGCTCCATCTAGCTCGTCTATAAAGGCTCCCTCTAGCTCGTCTATAAAGGCTCCCTCCTCCAGCTCGCCTATAAAGGCTCCCTCCTCCAGCTCGCCTATAAAGGCTACCTCCTCCAGCTCGCCTATAAAGGCTCCCTCCTCCAGCTCGCCTATAAAGGCTCCCTCCTCCAGCTCGCCTATAAAGGCTCCCTCCTCCAGCTCGCCTATAAAGGCTCCCTCCTCCAGCTCGCCTATAAAGGCTCCCTCCTCCAGCTCGCCTATAAAGGCTACCTCCTCCAGCTCGCCTATAAAGGCTCCCTCCTCCAGCTCGCCTATAAAGGCTGCCTCTTCCAGCTCGCCTATAAAGGCTGCCTCTTCCAGCTCGCCTATAAAGGCTCCCTCCTCCAGCTCGCCTATAAAGGCTCCCTCCTCCAGCTCGCCTATAAAGGCTCCTTCCTCCAGCTCGCCTATAAAGGCTCCCTCCTCCAGCTCGCCTATAAAGGCTCCCTCCTCCAGCACGTCTATAAAGGCTCCCTCCTCCAGCTCGCCTATAAAGGCTCCCTCCTCCAGCTAGGCTATAAAGGCTCCCTCCTCCAGCTCGCCTATAAAGGCTCCCTCCTCCAGCACGTCTATAAAGGCTCCCTCCTCCAGCTCGCCTATAAAGGCTCCCTCCTCCAGCTCGTCTATAGAGACTCCCTCCAGCTCGTCTATTGAGACTCCCTCTAGCTCGTCTATAGAGACTTCCTCCAGCTTGTCTATAGAGACTCCCTCCAGCTCGTCTATAGAGACTCCCTCCAGCTCGTCTATAGAGACTCCCTCCAGCTCGCCTATAAAGGCTCCCTCCAGCTCGTCTATAAAGACTTCCTCCAGCTCGTCTATAAAGAGACTCCCTCCAGCTCGTCTATAAAGAGACTCCCTCCAGCTCGTCTATAAAGAGACTCCCTCCAGCTCGTCTATAAAGAGACTCCCTCCAGCTCGTCTATAAAGAGACTCCCTCCAGCTCGTCTATAAAGAGACTCCCTCCAGCTCGTCTATAAAGAGACTCCCTCCAGCTCGTCTATTGAGACTCCCTCCAGCTCGTCTATAGAGACTTCCTCCAGCTTGTCTATAGATACTCCCTCCAGCTCGTCTATAAAGACTCCCTCCAGCTCGTCTATAGAGACTCCCTCCAGCTCGTCTATAGAGACTCTCTCCAGCTCGTCTATAGAGACTCCCTCCAGCTCGTCTATAGAGACTCCCTCCAGCTCGCCTATAAAGGCTCCCTCCAGCTCGTCTATAAAGACTTCCTCCAGCTCGTCTATAAAGAGACTCCCTCCAGCTCGTCTATAAAGAGACTCCCTCCAGCTCGTCTATAAAGAGACTCCCTCCAGCTCGTCTATAAAGAGACTCCCTCCAGCTCGTCTATAAAGAGACTCCCTCCAGCTCGTCTATAAGAGACTCCCTCCAGCTCGTCTATAAAGAGACTCCCTCCAGCTCGTCTATAAAGAGACTCCCTCCAGCTCGTCTATTGAGACTCCCTCCAGCTCGCCTATAAAGGCTCTCTCCAGCTCGCCTATAAAGGCTCTCCCTATTTAGCTCGCCTATAAAGGCTATCTCTCCAGCTCGCCTATAAAGGCTCTCTCCAGCTCGCCTATAAAGGCTATCTCTCCAGCTCGCCTATAAAGGCTATCTCTCCAGCTCGCCTATAAAGGCTCTCTCCAGCTCACCTATAAAGGCTCTCTCCAGCTCGCCTATAAAGGCTCTCTCCAGCTCGCCTATAAAGACTCTCTCCAGCTCGCCTATAAAGGCTCTCTCCAGCTCGCCTATAAAGGCTCTCTCCAGCTCGCCTATAAAGGCTCTCTCCAGCTCGCCTATAAAGGCTCTCTCCAGCTCGCCTATAAAGGCTCTCTCCAGCTCGCCTATAAAGGCTCTCTACAGCTCGCATATAAAGCCTCTCTTCAGCTCGCCTATAAAGGCTCTCTTCAGCTCGCCTATAAAGGCTCTCTCCAGCTCACTAAATAAGGCTCTCTTTAGCTCGTCTATGAAAGACTCCCTCCAGCTCGTCTATGAAAGACTCCCTCCAGCTCGTCTATGAAAGACTCCCTCCAGCTCGTCTATGAAAGACTCCCTCCAGCTCGTCTATGAAAGACTCCCTCCAGCTCGTCTATGAAAGACTCCCTCCAGCTCGTCTATGAAAGACTCCCTCCAGCTCGTCTATGAAAGACTCCCTCCAGCTCGTCTATGAAAGACTCCCTCCAGCTCGTCTATGAAAGACTCCCTCCAGCTCGTCTATGAAAGACTCCCTCCAGCTCGTCTATGAAAGACTCCCTCCAGCTCGTCTATGAAAGACTCCCTCCAGCTCGTCTATGAAAGACTCGCTCCAGGTCGTCTATGAAAGACTCGCTCCAGGTCGTCTATGAAAGACTCCCTCCAGCTCGTCTATGAAAGACTCCCTCCAGCTCGTCTATGAAAGACTCCCTCCAGCTCGTCTATGAAAGACTCGCTCCAGGTCGTCTATGAAAGACTCGCTCCAGGTCGTCTATGAAAGACTCCCTCCAGCTCGTCTATGAAAGACTCCCTCCAGCTCGTCTATGAAAGACTCCCTCCAGCTCGTCTATAGAGACTCCCTCCAGCTCGTCTATAAAGACTCTCTCCAGCTGGTCTATAAAGACACACTCCAGCTCACCTATGGAGATTATCTTTAGGAACATAATCCAGGTATTTTATCTCCTCCCAACATCCAATCAATTTCATCCCTCTCATCTGGGATTAAAATCGTTCCCAATTCACCTGGCCTTTGCCTGTGCCCTCAGAAATCCCTTGCACTGAATTTTATGTCTGCCCTCCGTGTGTCTCTTCCATCTTCTAGTTTGCTATTATTGTCTTTAGCACTTACCTAGAATACCTAAACGGTAATTAAGCGTTACTACCACAACTTCGCCATAGCTGGCTAATACACTGCCATCGTAGGGATTACCGCTGCTCCATTCGAAGGATTCGCCGTGTATGAACACAATAACGGGCAATTTCTTTTCACTAGCTCCGGCTGAAATGAAAGCAAAAAAACGAGAAATCCATAAAATAGAATGTAAAAAACATATACAAACATATACAACAATTAAGGGCACACACACATACATACATTCATACACACATCGAACATTGCATAGTTGAAGGCTGAACGTGGAGAACGGCAATGAAATACAACCGAATGGAGAAAAATTGCGAAAAAAAAAGAAATGAAATGAAAAAGTACATGACTGAAATGTCAGTAAACGCGCTTTTAAACGCCATTAAATGTTTCCGTTTCCTGAGAATAGACAGAGGAACTGGAATATGTTAGAGCCTTTAAAGTTCAAATTTCTTGTGTCTGGACCTAAAGACTTCTTGTGCGTTTTTGCCATGTCTGACTGTAATGTTTCTCCATGGTATGTAAGTTGATTTGTTCCGCTTTTATTGAAGATATTTGCCGTAGTTGAGCGTATTTTATATTTCCTTTTCATGCTGATGTAAGAAGCTTAGCTATTGTAGCAATAAAGCAGCGTTAAAGTGAACTAAAGGCAAAAATCTTCTACAATCGAGGGAATAGTGCTAAGTTCTTGATTATTCGATTACCAAGGAAAATTGGGAATCTAATGCTTTAATGGGATGGAAAAAATCGGGGCAACATTTCAAGGGAGCGATTATCATTTTTTTTTCGGAAAAATTAGTTAGTCCTGCAAAGCAAAAGGACCAGCTGGGCATCAGCTCCAGTTCGTCTACATCGACCAGCTGAGCACCATCTCTTCTATATTGACCAGCTGGGCACTAGGTCATCTATATCGACCAGCTGGACTACAGCTCGTCTATATCAACCAGCTGGCCACAAGGTCGTCGATATCGACCAGCTGGACACCAGATAGTCTATATCGACCAGCTAGGATGCAGCTAGTCTATATAGACCAGCTGGGAAACTGTTAGTCTATATCGACCAGTTAGGCACTAGTTCGTCTATATCGACTAGCTGGGCACAAGCTAGTCTTTATTGATAGCTGGGATCCGGCTTGTCTATGTTGACCAGCTGGGCACCAGCTCGTCTATATAGACCAACTGGGCACCAGGTCATCTATATCGACCAGCTGGGCTGCAGCTCGTCTAGATCGACCAGCTGGGCTGCAGCGCGTCTAGATCGACCAGCTGGGCTGCAGCTCGTCTATATCGACTAGCTGGGCTGCAGCTCTTCTATATCGACCAGCTGGGCTGCAGCTCGTCTATATCGACCAGCTAGTCTGTATCGATCAGCTTGGCACAAGCTAGTCTATAGAGACCAGCAGGGCACCAGCTAGTCTATAGAGATCAGCAGGGCTTCAGATAGTCTATATCGACCAGCTGGGCAGCAGCTCGTCTTTATTACTACTACTTGGGCGCCAGCTTTTCTATATCGAATAGATGGGCACCAGCTCGTCTATATTCAGCAGCTGGGGACCAGGTCATCCATATCGATCAGCTGGGCTCCAGCTCGTCCATACAGATCAGCTGAGGTCCAGCTCGTACATAGAGATCAGCTGGGTCCAGCTCCTGGGACCAGTTAAGCTTCAAAGGCCGGGTATGAAGACCTGCTGGGCTACAACTCTCTAGCGATTAGCACGTCTTTGATATGCTCTCGCTTTACAAACTCGCCGATTCCCTGGGCCTCCAGCTCGTCTATGAAGACTCACTGAGCCTTCAGCTCGTCTATAGAGATTCCCTGAGCCTCCAGTTCGTCTATGGAGACTCCCTGAGCCTCCAGTTCGTCTATGGAGACTCCCTGAGCCTTCAGCTCGTCTATGGAGACTCCCTGAGCCTTCAGCTCGTCTATGGAGACTCCCTGGGCCATCATCTCGTCTATAGAGACTCCCTGAGCCTCCACCTCGTCTATAGCAGACTCCCGGACCTTCAGCTCCTCTATCTATAGCGGGCTCTCTGCCCTTCAGTTGGTGTACTAATAGAAGACTCACTGGCGCATTATCTCGTCTATTGGTAATAGACTCCCTGGGCCATCAGTTCGTCTATAAAGATTCACTGGGCATACAATTCGTCTGTAGAGATTCCCTGGGCCTTCAGCTCGTCTATGGAGACTTCCTGGCCTTCAGCTCGCCTATAGTAAACCACTAGCCCTTCAGCTGATCTACTGATGGCAGACTCCCTGGCGCTTCATCTCGTATATTGATAATACGCTCCCTGGACTCCAGCTTGTTTATAGAATCTCCTTGGACTACATCTTGTCTGTAGAGAATTCCAGGCTATTGATAATACGCTCCCTGGACCTTAAGTTCGTCTGTAGAGACTCCCTGCACTTCAGCTCGTCCATAGAGACACCCTGAACTTCAGTTCGTCAATAGAGGCTCCCTGGCTCTCAGCTCGTCCATAGAGTCTCCCAGGACTACAACTCGTTTGTAGAAACTCCCAGGCTTACAGCTTGTCTGTGGGCCTACAGCTCGTCTAAAGAGACCTCCAGACCTTCATCTATACAGACTCCCGGGCTAGCAGCTCATCTATGTAGGCTTCTTGGTCTGAATATTGCCTACAAAGGCACCACATATCTCTTCTTTTAATTATCCCTCTAATTCTTCTATAAGGACTCTATCGCCTCTAAAGCCCCTCTACCCCATGACTGAAAAGTATTCCCCAGGCCTGTTAGGACTTTATTAAGCTCTTCTAAGAAAATGTATTTTTATTTAGTCCAGAATAAGACTCAATTTGTCTGAAAGGCTGCCATCAGAGATTTTGAGAAACTTTTTTACCCTTCAACTGAAAAGACCTCCTTAAACTTTTCGAAAATAATTCTCTTCCACCTGTATGATAAGTCTTTAATGAGTCTATAAAAAAATTTCCCTCAGACCCTCCCAGCTGAATGAACATCCCGGGTAATATTATTCCCTAATCGCCTAAAAGAGAATTCCTTCAGCTGTCCTTAAATACTCCAAAAATACTCCCTTCAACTGGTCCATTTCTCTGCTAAAAAAAATAATTTACGGGCATTCTGCCCAATTGTCTATGATTTCAGACATCTTTTCCCTCTAAAATCTCCATTTTGTCAACCTTCAAATCACACCTTTGATTGTCCATTTAATATCACATTCTTTTTTATTCAAACTCCTTATAATCTCCCATTTAAACTCCATCCCCTTGTGAAGTTTCCAACCTCCTTGAATAGGCTGTGAAATTTTCCATTATTGCTACGGGACATGTCTAATGATGATTTTGTCTTAGTCCTGTATCGCTCGTAGCCGAGATAAACTTATGGGCAACCTAAATAAACAGATATATTACTTTGGATCCTGTGTCCTAAGCCAGCTAGGTTAATGTTGCGTGCCACAGCAACAATAATGTTTATTTTTATTGCCGTTTTTTTCTTTTTGATTTTCTGTTTGCGTTTTTTTTTCTCAGTCGATACAGATACACTTTTTTCTTTCCCATAGTCGGTATCCCATTGCTGGGTATGCACTAATACCCAACCGTGCTGTCCGGCTCGTGGCTCGTGTATGTCTTGTTCATGGATTCATTATTGTTGCTACGTGACGTATGATTAATTTTAATTAATTACATCGAAATTCTCTAATAAATGAGGGTGTGTGTGCGTGAGTGCACGAGAGAGAGAAAGAGAGTTAGTGTGTGTGTGTGTCCCTTCTGTGCTTCTCGTTGTGTATTTGTTTTTTTCTAGTCTTTCTTTCTTTTTCCTTGCTGTTGGTTTTTTTTCATCTTCTTCTTTACTCTAAACGTTGGTGCTGGCTGCCCTCCGCGTGTGCTTAGCCTATTGGAAGAAATGATTGGCTACATGGCAGAAGGGTGTTATTGAAATAAATGATTCAGAAAATGTTTTGCATCAGATTTTTTTCTTCTAAGTTTTTCTTTGCTCTCCACTTTTTGGTAACGGCCGCAGCCTCTGAGATGACCTGGCAAAAGCGGATAATTTAAATTAATAAAACATGATCTTAACGCTTGAATAAATTTCTGAGGAAGAAATCAATTACTTGTTATGAAAGTAATTTTAAGCTTTATATTTGTTAGATTTTTCTTATCTTTTATTTACCTTTTTTATAAATAAATATTAAAAAAGGAAAAATGATAAATATTTTTGGTTTTTTTTCGGTTTTTTAATGAAAAATTATTGCGCATTTATTCGTGTCAATGACCTGAAAGGAAATCAATCTCATAGAAAGGAGGAAAAAAATAAAGTTTTCAACAGAAATAATGTAAAGCCATTGGGAAGCCTCGTTTGGTAGTTGTAGAAAAGGATTGAAAACCTCTTGATAAGATCCGCGGTTACTTAGCTGCAACAAGTCTTCATATTTTTATACCCTCCACCTTGGAAAGGAGGGTATATTAACTTTGTCAATCCGTTTGTAACATCCTTAAATATTCGTCGTAGACCCCATAAAGTATATATATTCATAATCAGCATAAAATTCTAAGGCGATTTAACGATGTCCGTCTGTCTGTCCGTCTGTTTGTCTGTCCGTTGAAATCACGATACAGCCCACATTATTTGACGTAGAGCTCCAAAATTTAGCAGAACTATTTGTATTGTGTTCAGGATGGTTGGTATTGAAAATCGGTCCACGTTCTGGTATAGTCCCCATATAACGGTACCTCCCGATATTCGGTATTTCGATTTTTTTGCCACGTTTTTTCACGGATTTGTCTAAAAATTGGTATTTGTTGGTCATAATGGGTTTCAGCTCCGGTGGCGAAACATTGCATGTATGGGTCCACGTTTTGATATAGTCCCCATATAACGGTACCTCCCAATATTCGGTATTTTGATGATTTTTGACACATTTTTTCAAGAATTACTCTGAAAATTAGTAGTTGTAGATCATAATGGGTCCCAGTTCGTGTGGCGAGTCATTGTAATTATAGGTCCACGTTTTGGTATTGCCCCCATATAACGGTACCTTACAATATTCGGTATTTTGATGGTTTTTGCCACCTTTTTTCACGGATTTGTCTGAAAATTGGTATTTGTGGGTCATAATGGGTTCTAGTTCGTGTGGCGGAACATTGTATGTATAGGTCCACGTTTTG